AGACACCTTCCTCGCCGGGTTTCCAGGACACCTGGCAACCTCCTGCCCTTTATCCTATTTAAGGAGCACTTATGCAATGCTGGTGCCAGGCGCTGCTCTATGTACACTGCAATTATTAGCCAATGATCCTGAGAAGTGGGTGCTGTTCTTGTCCCTGTTTTGTTTTTTTTTTTTTCTTTTTTTTTGAGACAGAGTCTCACTCTGTCGCCCAGGCTCCAGCCTGTCGCCCAGTGCAGGGCCGGATCTCGGCTAACTGCAAGCTCAGACTCCTGGGTTTACGCCATTCTCCTGCCTCAGCCTCCCAAGTAGCTGGGACTATAGGCGCCCGCCACCACGCCCGGCTAATTTTTTTGTACTTTCAGTAGAGACGGGGTTACACCGTGTTCGCCAGGATGGTCTCGATCTCCTGACCTCGTGATCCGCCCGCCTCGGCCTCCCAAAGTGCTGGGATTACAGGCGTGAGCCACCGCGCCCGACCTCTTGTCTCTGTTTTACAAGGCAAGGGAGAGGGGAGGCACAGAGAGGTTGAGTAACCTGCCTGAGTTCACACAGCCAGGTCTGTAGCTCGGGGGCTGCTCCAGTGTCTGTCCTGAGTCTCCCCTCCTGCTGGTGCCTCCTCTCTTCTCCGGGCTTCTGAACACCAGCAGGGTTGGACTCACTCTCCCGGGCTCTACTCTGTTCCCAGGACGTGGTCCAGGCTCCCGGCTCTAATCTCCACCACGTGGCCACCCTGCCTGCAGGTCCATCCCGCCAGACTTTGCCCTGAATTGCCGAGCTCACCTCGACCTCCACGCCTCCACCCTCCCACCCTCTTCCCACTCTGACAGGGACAGCTTTGTCCCCTCTTCGCCCTCTTTTTCTCACCCTATGGCACCCTCCCCGCTCTGTGCTTGCCCCTGCCCTAGACGGAGCCACGCCAACCTGTGACCAGTTCGCCTTCCCAGTCCCTCCCTGGTCTCTCGCTTCTGCCCTGGCTCCAGACAGTCATTTCCCAACACAGCAGCTCCAAACATTTTACCCTGACCAGCAAGGCCTCGTGGGACCTGCCCCACCTTGCCCTCTGACCTCCTCTCCTGCCCCTTCCCTGCCAGGAACACTCCAGGCAAGGCGCAGCCTCAGGGCCTCTAACCTGGCTGTGCTGTCTGCCTGATACAGCTATCCCCAGGCACCCCCAGGTTTCCTCCCTCTCCTCCTCTGGTTTTTGTTTTCTGTTTGTTTGTTTGGAGACAGCGTCTCTGTGGCCCAGACCGGAGTGCAGTGGCACAATCACAGCTCAATGCAACTTCGACCGCTGGGCTCTGGTGATCCTAGATCTTCCCACCTCAGCCTCCCGAGTAACTGAGACTACAGGTGCACCCACCATGCCCGGCTAATTTTTACATTTTTTTGTAGAAATAGGGTCTTCCTGGCCAGGTGTGGTGGCTCACGTCTGTTAATCCCAGCAGTTTGGGAGGCCGAGGCAAACAGATCATCTGAGGTCAGGGGTTCGAGACCAGCCTGGCTAACACGGTGAAACCCCATCTCTAGTAAAAATACAAAAAAATTAGCCAGGTGAGGTGGCTCACGCCTGTAATTTCAGCTACTTGGGAGGCCAACGCAGGAGAATCATTTAAACCCAGGAGGCAGAGGCTGCAGTGAGCTGAGATTATACCACTGTACTCCAACCTGGGTGACAGAGCGAGACTCGATCTCAAAAAAAAAAAGTGGAGACTCCAGCCTGGTGACAGAGCAAGTCTCCATCTAGAAAAAAAAAAAAAAAATCCCATTGGGCACGGTGGGCTCACACCTGTAAATCCCAGCACTTTGGGAGCTGAGTGGGAAGGATCCCTTTGTTGTAGTTTTCCAGTTTTTGGGTTTTTTTTTTTTTTTTTTTTTGCAGACGAGTCCTCGCTCTGTCGTGCCAGGCTGG